AGTTATTATTTAAAATCTTAATTTCTCTGGGCTTTGGTTCTGTATCTTTAGAACAACAGCATCTTTGTTATCAAAGCATCATTCTGATMGAGTTAGACCACAGTCAGAGCTCCTGTAGGCTCTGCCAGAATCACTCAAAAGCAGCTAGGGGGCCTTACCATGATCCCCAATTTACACTCTCACAGCCTGACACATAGCTTGCCAAACCGAGTCAAAAAAATTCAAAAGTTTTGGAAATGCTATTAAGCCTTATAGTGCCAGGACCACATAAGGCCACAGCAAGCATATGTTCCTAATCTGAAGATAAGATCCTCCCACAGCTGTCTGCCCTACACCCACATAGGTCAACAAGAGTTTGTTGTTGATGTGAATAAAAGCATTGCTGAGTTCTTCTTCTGCTAAGGGAGTGTCTTTGGCTGCAGCTAATTGTTGACAGCATACTGAAAGTTWTGAGAGTTGCTGTAAATACACCCAAGAGCTTAACAGTAGTCTCATTCTTATTTGCATGCCTAGATAAACAAACAGGAACAATTTAAAAGTTTGCAACTCTACTTCCCAACCCTCAGGTCAAAGTCATGTGCACTTACAGGTCAGGTATCACCACTGCAGGAACCCTGAACTTGCACAAGCATCTAATATGGTCACAGCGCTGTGYGGAGTTCCCAGCTCAGCCTTCCAAGTAAGACATGCTGTGGAAGCATGATAGTGTCCAAGACTSTGTTTGAGAGTAACAAAAGAACATCACAATCATGCAAATTCTGAGTTTGGATCTTAGATGATCTTTTTATCTTAGAAGTCTGTCATGTTCTCTTACACTATACAAATTTTGAGAGAGAGAAGTATGAGAGATTGTGCCCATAATCACCCAGGCTCCTTCAGCTTCCAATCAGTCAACAGAGAGGAACTGAGAAAGAAACTAGCATAAAGAGAACACTGCTTCCTCCACAACCACCACTCCCTGCTTTTCTCATGTAGAATAAAAAGAACAGGTTGAAGTCTCCTTTTCCTGAAGGCCTCCCTCTGTCACAGGGTTTCTTTACTTGCTAGAGCATATTCTCCTGGTTTTCATCAGCCTATTATATTTATCATCTTCAGCAGCACTGGCACCGTTTCTGATCATCTACTTCCAAGTTGCAAAATTCCTAAAAAACCTTCTAGTCATCATAGCCCTGAAGGCTGAGAACATGAGCCTTTATGACACCAAATTCATGACCCAACCTTCCTTTCCCACAGCCTCACAAATACTCTTTTGCCATCCTTTGTTTAGAAGGCCTAATTTATTGAACTAGGTGATTTCTAGAAGTCCCTTCCAAACTCAAACATTCTATGATCCTGTGATGATACTAGTGACTTGTCTTAGCTCCTCCCTCACTGTTGTCAACCCTGTCTTTATAAAATCAAATATAAACTCTCCTAAAACCACAAAACTTGTCTAAAAGACATAAATCTAAGATAACCTTTGAATACCACTATTGATTTTTTTCAAGTTAAAATAGGTTTTAATTTTTCATCAAAACCACAGAGAGAATAAACTTGTTCTTTAAGTAAAAGTTCTTAACTGCCCACCTATCCAGATATTACAGGAAATTAAGAAAAATATCACAAACCACTAAAAGGTGAAAATTTGCAATAGCATCAGTGCAGGAATTTATAACATCTTTCCAGATATAGCTGAGCACAAGACTTACATGACTACCCTGTGAGCTTGTGAAGCCACTGATAAGCATTTCCCACAATCTTTTTTTTTGTTTTCCATTATCTAAGTGGAGAGTGAAATTTCTGTTGCAGAAGAAATTTCTTCCCTGTATACATAGCTGTTTGCCACATCTTCCCTTATTTTGTGTCCTTAAGAGCTGGTATAAAATAGTCATAAAAAGTTAAATTCTACTCTTCTCTAGAGTATTAACCTTAGACAGTTTATCTAGCCCCAGAATAATCCTCTAAATTGAACTGAGCATACATTTAATATACAGTGATATTAGATATTCTATACTACATCATAGAGTTTGGATTGGAAATTGACAAATCATGTATGAAAAAAGCAAGAATGTCGGAGGCAGTCATTGAAATATCTGATGAATTTACACATCTTTATATCTAGCTTTATTTTCTAAATTAACTGGCAATTAATTCATGGAAAAAAATAAGTACACCCACAATAGTATTTATCAACTATTTATCAAAAAAACATAGGATTCCAAAAGAAAAATGTTGGAAAAGAAAATGTGGAGCTGGTAAATTCCCTTCCATCCATTCATATGGCATAGCATATCCTAATCTTTTTCCCATTTTGGAGTGACTGACACAGCCTGCCAAGTTACTTTCACTATCTGTACCTCTTGCACAAAAGTCATATAGAAACAGTGTGTCATTCACCCTGTAATTGAGTTGTGCTGATCTTCAGTAACATCCTACTTCAGACTTGCTGGCTACTTTTCTGGCTTCTTTCCTTTTTCTCCTACTTTTTCTATTTTTTTCTACCACTTTCTAAATCCTTCTTTCTCCAATTAAGTACATTTCTCAGCAGCTGAGTCTGCAGCCTCACACTCTCTTAAAAAAAACTCCTAAACCTACTTTTCATAGGAATTATTAGTTCTCCATTATTGACCTGTTCTCCTGCTACTGTTTGGGCACTTTTGTCCAACCCACATGGGAATTTTAGTCTCTTAACACAGTACCAGGTCTGAAGCACTGCAGAGGTAATATGAGACACTACATATTTGCAATTCTCTAGTAAGCAAGGCAAAGGTGGGCTTGGAATTTGGCCTGTGTAACTATCCTAAGCATTACAGGACATTGCTGTGTCTAAGCTCAAGAAATACATAATATGCCAAGGTCATTATCATAAAACAAAACAGTCTAGCAGACATGACAAAATACTCAGAGATGCTGCAGTGTTAGAATTTAGCATCCTGATGGGCTATTTAGTTTTTTTAAAAAAAACAATTAGTATTGTATATAGCTTCTGAGTTAGAAAGAACTAACAGATGAACCAGAAAGGGTTATGAACCAGGAAGGTCAAAAAAAAAAAAAAAAAAAAAAAATCACCTGACAGGTACCTGAGAAGAATAAAAGGAAGTGTTTCTTTAGAAGCAAATTTAGATTTTTCCTTTCTTTCTGTTTCAATATCAGATCTATGATGTCAAAATGAATGAACAGATCCTGACCTAATTCCAGTATTTATTTCAGAAACCACAGTATGAGATACATAACCACAGAGAAAATACAGAAAATTTCTTACTTTTTCTACATTTGTGCAAACTMCTTGAACTGAAAAATGTTTATTTTAGAAATCTCTACCAAACTTGAAGATTTATTTGTGCTGCGGGAATAAAATGCAACTTCTCAGAAACAGGTCTTTYTTGCTCAGAAGCAATATTTATTATAAGGCTACAGGTTCACTCTTTCTGATCATACACTCAGAGAAACCCAGCAGTGCAAAACTAGAAGCAGTTCCTGAACTCTATTATGCTGTAGAAAAAAAAAATAGCTTATTGTGGAAGCCTTTTAAGACTTTCACTGGCAAAACTGAGCCCTTAAACAGTTGACGATGTATCCTTTTAAAATAGAGGCACCAGTTAGAGCCTCTTTCATTTTAGGAACTTTTCCATCTTGTCAGGTTTTCCAGAACTTGTTCATACACGTCTTGCCTGTAAGCATACTTGCGACTAGCTGTGACATGGCACCTTTTCTTTTGAATGCATCTCATTTTGAAACACTTTATACATACTTAAAAGTTTATCTAAACTTCCTTCTCACAGGGCATTGAAACCCAGCTCTCACTTCACTTTAGTGTAACTGAARGAAGTACTTTTCACACGTGAAAAGCTCTTAACAGAAGACCTCAACATTGGGCCCTACCCAATGTTTATTAAGGAAACTACCTTGTTTATTAAGGAAAAACCAATTTTACTCAAATTATGAAATACTGGGTTGGAGAGAGAATGGGGGAATCCATTTCTAGAACTGCATCACAGAATGATGTTACGATCCAAAAAAAATGGCTGCCTAACCATACAAATTCATATGCATCCTGTACAAGATTTCAATTATCTTATTAAGAAAGAAAACCCTTTGTGTTTCCAAACTGCCTTTCACAGTTTCAGCACTATTTTAAATTAGTCCAATTATGCTCCAACCCAGAGCTTGGCACAAGTATAATATTTAAATCTACTCCCTCTCCAAGGAGAGAATCAGTTGACAGTCTGGATCTATGCCGCGGTGTAGACTACTTTTATGACAWGTCTGGTAAAAGAAATAACCCTGTCTCCTTGTCTATGTCAACAGATTATTTATGATTTGACCTTGTTTTGTTTGGCTTCATATTTACCTTAGATGCAAGTCCCTTGCTTCAATATAAGAAAGGGAAAATGAGTCACATTGTTTACTAAGTAGTTTATTACTTATTTTTTTGAGTGATATCTTTTGCTAGTCTAAGAGGAATAACCCTTTGGTAAGGATAGACTTACCTTATACTATCTTAGTGCAAAAAACCTTCCACAGGTGCTTCTCTGGTGCATTGCTGAATTCCTGGCTTAATGCACATCAGGTGCTGAGACACTCCTTGCTCACAGAAAACTGCAGAGTTTAAGTTTCAGAAGGAATTCAATAAACCCATACTTCACCTGATGTTTAGGTCCAGCTAAACATGGTAATGTCAGTTATAATATCTCAGCTGAGGGCATACACCCTTCAGCCTTAGTAGATTTGAGACTTACTGTACTAAGATGTTGGATTCCAGGACTAAAAAARAAAAATCAGTGTATGATTGACAGCTGGTGCTATTTAACAGCAATTCAACTGACCTGTAAGTATGCTCTGCCAAAAGCTAAAAAGGTCCACAGAAACATGAGAGCTTGCAGCCTACACACCCTGCTCAGCACGGCTTCCTGCTGTGTAGTGGTGAGCAATGAATAAACCTCCATTTTCAAAAGTCCATGAAAAGAAAATAACAGAAAAGTATTATATTAATACATTTAAATTCACTCTACATATCTTACCTCTCCTTTCATAAATTTTATCCAGTTAGGTCTGCATCTGCAAAAATGTTCAGAGTGCAACAAGGACAAAAGCAGGACAGCACAGTAAGCCCCTACAACAATGGCCAGTGAAGCTATACAAGCACTCCTCTTTTTCCTTATAACTGCTCACTCCCTACTTCCCCCTCTACCAACCATTTCCCCATAATGACTGTCCCTTCTTTTCCCAGCCCTTCCTTTATGGCTATTCCTCAACAGCAGCCTTTTTTTTTTTTTTCCACTAATCTCTCAAGAACTTCCCAGCACGCCTCCCCCGCCCCCAACGACTACTCCTCATCGTCTAACARTTACCCCTCAATGGCTGTCTGTTGTCTCCTTTTTCTTTCTGCCTCCCCTAACCACCTAGCTACTCTCTTTGCCCTACCCACCAGTTCCCCTTCAACGGCTATCCTGCTCTAACAGATCCCCCTCAAGGGCCATACGTTCTCTCTGACYCTACTCAAAAGTTCCCCCTTAAGAGCTACACGTTCTTTTTACCCCCTGTGAGCAACAATTGCCCCTTTTTTAACAGCTCACACTCAAGCGCTGCTCCCTCCCTCTCCCTGCCCCACGGCCCTCCCTGAAAGGCAGCAGCTTCTGCCTCTCCTCAACGACTGCTCCTTCTTCCTGTCCACTGAAGGGCTCTTTCAACAGCAGCACGTTTTCTAAGCCCCACCTCAACGGCCGCTCCTGCTCCCTGCCCCGCCCCTCCCGCCCCCCAACGGCTCCTCATTGACGACTACATATTCTTCCTACCCCACCTTAGCAACAGCTGACCCTTTTTAACGGCTCCTCCTCAACAGCTGGTCCTTTTTTAACGGCTCCTCCTCAACAGCCATCCCCTTTGTCTACCCCAACCAGTTCGAGGGCAGTAGGTTGTGTCTCTCCTCAATACATGCTCCCCTTTCCTGTAAACTTAAGGACTCTCTTTCTCTCTAAGGCCTCTTCCTAAGGGCAGCTCATTTTCTCTGCTCCTTAACAGCTGCACCCTCTTACTGCACCCCTCAACAGCTTCCCCCTTAATGCTGCACCATCTTTCTACTCCACCTCAGCACCAGCTACCCCTTTCTAAGGGCTTCTCCCCAATAGCTGCCCCTTCTCCCTGTCTCACCCAATGGCTCGCCCTTTTTCTAACGGCTCCTTTTCAACGGCAGCACGTTTTCTAAGCCCCGCCTCAACGGCTGCTCCTGCTCTTTGCCCCACCCAACGGCTCCTCCTTAACGGCTGCATGTTCTTTCTACTCCACCCTAGCAACAGCTGTTTCTTTTCAAAGGTTCCCCTTGAACAGCTGCTCCTTTTTAACGGCTCTCCCTCCGAGGCTGTGCCCCTTTCCTACTCCACTCAGTTCCAGGTTCTGTCTCTTCTCAGTGGCTGCTCCCTCCTCCTGCCCACTTAAGGACTCCCCCTTTCTCTCAGGTTTGTCCCTGATGGCAGCACRTTTTCTCTGCTCCTCCTCAACAGCTGCTCCCTCTCCTTCCACCACTCAACAACTCCCTTTTAACGGCTGCATGTTTTTTACTACTCCACATCAGTATCAGCTACCCCTTTCTAAGGGCTTCCCCTCAACAGCTGCCCYTTCTCCGTGTCCCACCCAATGGTTCGCCCTTTTTCTAACGGCTCCTTTTCAACGGCAGCGCGTTTTCTAAGCCCCGCCTCAACGGCTGCTCCTGCTCCCTGCCCCACCCAACGGCTCCTCCTTAACGGCTGCACGTTCTTTCTACTCCACCCTAGCAACAGCTGCTTCTTTTTAACGGCTCCACCTGAACAGCTGCTCCTTTTTAACGGCTCTTCCTCGGGGGTGGCCCCCTTTTTCTACCCCACTCAGGTTCAGGTTCTGTCTCTCCTCAGTGGCTGTAGCCTTCTCCTGCCCACTTAAGGCCTCTTTCTCTAAGGCTTCTCCTTGATGGCAGCATGTTTTCTTTGTTCCCCCTTACTGCACCCTTCAATGGCTTCCCCTTAATGCTGCATCTTCTTTCCACTCCACCTCAGCACCAGCTGCCCTTTTTTAACGGTTTCTCCTTCTCCACCCAACGGTGCCCCCTCAACAGCTATCCCTTTTCCCTGCCTCACCTAATAGCTCTCCTTTCTTGTTCAACGCAGGTTCTCTCTTTCTTCAATAGCTACTCCTCCTTCTTTAACGGTTTCCTCTCAACGGCAGCTCCCTTTACCTGTCCACCCAAGAGCTTCCCCCTCAACCGCTGCTCTTTAATGGCTTCTCCTCAACGGCAGCACATTCTCTCAGTCCCTTCTTAATGGCTGCTCCTTCTCTCTTTACTACTTAACAGCTTCCCCCCTTGTAATGGCTCTTCTTCAGTGGTTGTCCCCCATCCCCGGCGGGTCCCCACTCTCTCGATGAACCCTCAAAAGGTGTTGCAATAGCGGCTTCCCCTCAGTGACTGCCCCCCCCAGCAGCTCCCCCCACAGGCCACCCCCTTCTAATGGCTTCCTATTTTTTCTGCCTCCCCCCCTCYCCCCAGCTGCCCCCTCTCTACGGCTGCGCCCCTCCACGGTTTCCCGCTCTCTCCCTGCCTTGCCTTCCCCGCCCGGGGCTGCCCGCTCGCTCACTCCCTGGCTCCTGTCCCGCCCGCGCGCCCGTTGCGTTCTTGGAGCGTCAGCGGGAATTTCCAGTCAGGAAGTGCGGCGGCCCCGGCGGGCAGGGGCGGGCGGCCGCGGGGGCGGAGGCTTTGCAGACGGCGGCCGCGCAGGCCGGTGCCGCTCGGCTGCCCTCGCCAGCGGGCCAGCGGAGGGGAAAGTCCGCGCGGAGCGAGGGCGCGGGCGGCGCCGGCGGCGTCACGCCGGTTACATGGAGCGGCGCTGAGGGACTCGCGAGCGGGAGGCGAGGAGGAAGACGACGACGACAACGACGAGAAGGACGAGGCGCCGTCGGCATCTGCACTGTCCTGGGTGAGTCCCTGGCCCACTGCCCTCTTCTTGTCTGCCCCGCTGCCTGTTTGCCTGTTGCGCCAGTACCGCCTTCYTTCCGTGCGGAGCTGGTGCAGGGCGGCCCGGGACGGGTGGGGAGTATCGCTGTGGAGAGCTCGTGGGTTTTGTCGGCGGCTAGCGGCTGCCCCGGCCCGGCCTAACGCGGGACTGAGAGCCGAGGCCGTTGCCCACGGACTCGGGAAGAGCGGGGAAGCGGCGGCTGGTGCTGTATCCCGCGAAGCGGCGAGGCGATCGAGACAGAGGGGAAGGCTGTGGTCAGGGCGGCACCAGCCTCCTCTTCCCCTCAGTGCCGAGATTCGGGAAGGGCGGTTGCCGCCTTGCTTTCTCTTCTATCGGGACGTTAGAAGTTGCTCTCGCTCCCCTGCGCCCTGACTCTTAAAGCGCAGCTACGGCGGCTCTTTTCCTGGTGTTTAGTGCGAGGGGCTGCGAAGTACGGTCAAACTGGCACGGAAACCTGGAAAGCCGCTTCTGCTGGCCAGTGGTGGATGCTTGCTGTCAAAGAGGCTGCTACTGCTGCCTTTTTTGCGTGTTTGCTTTCAAAGCTTTCTCGGCTTAAGCGGAGAAATGGTCTGGAACATCTGTGTTGTACAGTCAGTTGTTGAGTCTTGAGGGGAAAAAAGTTACTGTGTCAGTAGTGCATCGCTAGTGGCACCCTGATAGCCTCCTCATTATGACTGGGGATCGTAGCAGACTTTCGTTTGAAGTGCATGTTACAAGTTACATAAATGCTACTTTGGGGAGTGGTAACTCATGAATATTTAAAGGCGATTCTACTGGTAAGTAATGAAAGTCAAATGGTCTTGCAGTGATACCAGAAGCAGAATCTGATKTTTTTTGGATGAGGTCATAAAAACAAGGTTAGACTGTTCATCATCTCCATTTTTTTAACCTATTGTGTTGTCTACCTCAATGCTAATTTGGTTAAAAAGCTCTTTTTGAACCTAAAGTAGAGTGTTATTTCAGTACTTAAGTGTAGATGAGCTATGTGTTATTTGGCTGCTATTTCAATACAGTATGCTGGTGTGTCAAATTCAAACAAGCAAAATATGAGTGCAGGTAGGTGTTTGCAGAGGTCAGGCTTCATAGGCTAGAGATCATCACAACTGCAGTGCAGTGCTTCAACCTCAATTCARAAATGCTGTCCCCTTTGCTAAAGGGTGAGGTTAAAAAGGGATGAATATTTTTAAAAAGTATTTTAAAGTTCTTAATGTGTTCAAATGGACATGTTTGATTTTATGCGTCAAAGTCATTTGACTCATTTTTTTTTATCGGAGAAACTTAAGTCAAGATTAAGCATATTTTCTTTTGTATCAGCTTATACCCTATGTCACCTTACGCTTTACCAGCTATAAGGTGCTACACTGCCTTAAGCAGCTTTGATGTCACCATTGTCAAGTTTAGAGAATGCAAATAAAAATGCCTTATGGTATTATGGAGCTCTTRTAATAATATGCTAGTTAGAATGTCTATCTGGATAGAGACACGTTTTTATTAGGAGGGAATGCAGCTGCCCATTTAATGAAAGCATCAGAATAATGTCTTAGTTATCCCCAATGTTTTGTAATCTCTAGAAGAGAACTACAGTTTCGTTGAGAAAATGAAAGAGGAAAAATCAGACTGCAGCAGTATGGGAGGTAAATTCTCGGCTTCTCTAAACTTTCGTGGCACAGTAATTTAAGTGACATTTATGCTGAAATTGTATTGTTAGAATCTGCCAGAGGATACACCTGGAGATTTCAAGAAAATCTGGTGCTGAGATACCTGCAAGAACAGTTCAAATACTTTAGATTGAAATATTAACTAGTAGATGAGGAAGAAAGCCTTTTTTCACTTTGTCCCTTTTTTCAAGAAAAAAAGTCCCATTAACAATAGAGTTACCACAAAATCAAACTGGTGTGTCTCACCAGTAATGAATGTATTTTGGATAGAGGTAAGATTGTGAAACTGAGAATGGTTTTGATTCATTGTGTGTCAAGTAATTAAAAAAAAAATTAGCTTCATACCTGATAGAGATACATAGTAAACTTATTATCTTTTTTGTATATATTTTGAAATTAGAAAAATATCCTTTAAAAAAGAAAGCTGAAGGAGAGCCTAATCTGTGTTTTCATTTTGGTAGGAGGTAAGAGTGTAAAAAAGAGAGCAGTATATCATCTATATTTAAGTTTTAAAGTTTCTGGCTTATTAAAAATATTTA